GCTGGAAAAAGGGCGCCAATAGACTTGCTCAATGGGCACAGGGGTGCCAAAAACCTTCAATTTGTTAAAAAAAAAAAAAAAAAAAAAGTATCTGCGTAGTAGTAAAGTGTGCCATTTGAGCTGTAAAGGATGAAATTGTACCTACGATTGCTGAGGAAGAAAAAAATACCCTATTTCGATTATCCAGCCAAACATGGAAGCTGAAACCCATCCAAATACTGCAGGAAAAAAAAGCTCAGGCCAGAATTCAATAGTCTTTTCAGGACCTGTCAAGAAATGCACTACAGAGCACTACAGCCAAGGCCATTGCATTTCAATCCTGGAGCCTCACATTTCCAACAGGTCCTACTTCTTCCAAAGAAAGGGAGAAAGTCTATGTAGCTTTCCAACAAGGAAGGAAATCGTAATGCAAAACAGGCAAGCATTCAGAGCAGAAGAGAAGCGTGCAGCCATCCAAAAACCACAGTTTTTTTTCACATACGAGCTCTTACCATTCATATGAAAACAGAAAAGATGGTTTCTAATTGGGTCTCCTTAGAGCTCCCTGAAATATGCTTCAGTTAGGAGGATTCCTAACTGCTTTTTCTCCCCTGGTTGTATTCAGTGGATCAAGCAACCTTTTTGCTATCAGTGGATAACATGTAGTGAGCACCCACTTCATGCTGAGCGTTCATTCTATTGACCTCAACGCTCTGGACTGATCCCCCAAAGTGTAGCATTAACAAAAGAAATGGAAAATTCTCTGCTGCCTCTGATCTTCAGCAGTAAACTATCCAGATGAGAATTTACATATGAAAATTGCTTCCGGATATCTGCAAAGCAAGGTAGACGTGAGTGTGGATATAGCAGCAGCAGGACCTATAAAGACAGCGGGGACCAGCGGCAATGTTTAATAAGAGCTCTGCCACAGGAGATGAGGACAAATGGGAGGAAAGGAGGAAGAAAAACATGGGATGGGTGAAGTGTATTGTGGGTAGCACGGGGAAGGTGGTATGCACGGTGCACTGGAGGTGGGAAGAAGTAAGTGCAGTGATGAAAATGGCACGTGGATTTTCTGGAATGAAAACGAATATGAAGACTTCTCTTGATGAAATGGGCGGCAGATTTAGCCAATAGCTTGGAGGCTGGGCAGAGATATTTGGATTTGACAGAATAGACAAAATGACGGCAGAGCAAGTTCTTTGTCAAAGGCATGAAGGACATGATAAGAAAGAAGTCTTTGAGAGGTGTTGCCATGGAAATGAAAGTATGTGCATTGCGGGGTAGGTGGGGAATAGGTTGGTCCATCAAGGGTACGGCCAAAAGGCTGCTAAACCCACCCGGCTATGGGTGGTAAGAAC